GTGGATTCCCTCCTTCTAGCATGTGGTTCCTGGGGATTAAGTACTTCCCACTGCCAAAAAGAAGCTGCTCTGACAAAGGCTGAGAGAAGCTCAGGTCTATGATGATAAAGATAAATAGTTGGGAAGCAACTTGACAACATAATTATTTAACGAACTACTAATTGTAAGCTCTGCTCTAGGGCTTATGATCTCTTTAGTCATGGACTTCTGACCAGGTTTATAGTACCAGACATGAACGCCTGCCTATGGAACAGGGCACAACTCCAATCAGAAAGAAGTTGGTTACTCCACAACAGTTGTGCCACTGCTACAGCAACGTGCAGCTCTTGCCTTGCAGGTTGACATTGAGTATGCAGCATACAATGCTGGGTAAGACCACTGACATCTTTTCTACCTCAGAAGCTTGCAGAATCCCTTCTGGCACTATGAAAGCTAGTTAGCACAGAGAAAGTTCTGTGGTTGGTTAGAGACTAATTTTTCTATGTCTGCAACCAAATTATAGTGTGTGGAGACATTGCCTAACTGAAATTAGCTGGATATAGAAAGACAGCTGGGCTGGGAAGATGTCTCAGTGCCAAAACTGTTGTCACATAAATAAGTACTGTGACTGGAGTTCAGATCTTCAGAACCCACTAAAAGCTGGGCAGATATAGCGCTACCTGTAACCCCTCTCCCTGAAGAGAGAGCAGCAGAGGGTTGTCTGGATGAACTGGCCAGCCACACTAGCTGAACCAGGGAGTTCTGTGCTCAGCAGGAGATTCTACCTGAATGAAAAAAAAAAAAACCAAAACAACCAGAAAGGGTTGGAGAGATGTCTCAGTGAGTAAGGGAAAGCCCACTGAAAACCTGGGATGGAATTCTGGCAGGCTTGACTTTGTTCAGGACCTGTGCAAGTAACCAGAGCTGCTGTGAGTACCTCAGTCAATAACTGTGTCATGTCCAGAAAACAGCATCCCACCCATAGTCCTCTTCCCCATCGCCTGGCTCTTACTGTCTTTCTGCTCACTCTTCTGTAACATTCCCATTCAGCATCAGAGGAGACATGGGCTAGAAGTGCAAATATCTTGAAATGCATGGATTCTATTTCTTTGGGGTACATATCCAGAAGGAAGACTGTGAGATGACAGGCTAGTTTTATTTTTACATTTTTGAGAAACCTCCACACAAATTTCATAATGAGTGCCATCATGCAGGTACCATTTTATATACATGAGTGAGTGCCATCAAACCCGCCACTGGCAGGCAAGAGCTGATGTTGTCTTTTCCAGATCCTTGTCAACTCTTGATACCTTGTCCATTTGATAAAGGCCATTCTAATAGACATAAAGCAGTATTTCATGGTGGTTTTCATTTGCATTTCCCTGATGACAAGCGATGTTGAACTTTTATAAAGTACATGCATTTGCTAACTGTATGTATATACATACATTCATAAACATCATATACATCTTTCTAAGAAACATCTTTTGTAGCTTATTTTTAAAATTAGATTATTTTTATGCTAGTTAGATTTTTGAGATTCGCTATCATACCAATATTAACCAGTCATCAGATATATGGGCTTGCAGATATTCTTACTTTCCCTAGGTTGCCTCTGTTCTCTGTTGATTTTTCCCTTTGCTGTGCAGAATTTGTTTTAGATGAGCTCATTTGTGATTCTGCTTCTGTCGTCTGGGACTTTAGGGTCATGTTCAACAAGTCTTTGCCTAGACCAATCTCAAGAAGAATTTTCTAGGCTCCCCCCACCCCCAGTATCTCTTCAGTTTCAAATCTTATGTTTAAGACTTTTCTATTTTTGGTTGACTTTAAGACTCTGGTCACAGCTAAGCATCTAATTCTGTTCTTGTGCATATGAACATCACATTTCTTCAGTGCCATGTATTTAGGGGATTATCCTTTTCCTGTTGTCTTCTTAAAAGGTCATTTGACTATAAATTTATTTCTGGGACATTTTTACTTCCCTGTCATTTTTATTCTAGTTCCATGCCGGTGTGATTGCTAGATCTGCTGTGGTTTGAATGTGAGATGTCCCTCGTAGGCTGCCGTCCTTACTTGGTTCCTAGCTGGTGGTGCTGTATTGGAAGGCTGTAGAACCTTTAGGTGTGGGAGGATCACTAGAAGAAGTGAGTCATTATGATGAGCCTTGATGTTTTTTAGTCCAGTCCCACTTCCTGTCTATCCTCTGCTTTTCGACTGAGATCACCCTGTAATCAGCACCCTCAGATTCCTGTTATGATAACTTCCCCATTATGAAGGAGTGTGTCCCTTCAACTTAAGCTGAAGTTTCCGTTAAGTTGCTTCTTATCAGGTACCTGGTCATAGTACCAAGAAAATCAGTTAATATAGTATCATTTGAAAAGTATGTTGACATAAGGTATCAAAATGCTTGGTTGGTTTTGCTCAATAAAGGTAAAGTAGAAAACATGTTGTTTGGGGGCCAAAAGGATAGTTCTTTTAAAGTTACAAAGAAACAGTAATTGTTAAAGAAATGAGCATTGGACAAAGGGCTGCAGGGTTTTCATGGGTTTCGGCTCCCAGGCATTCAGAGAACAAAGCCATGGTCCAAGAGGTCCCAGCTGCTGCTTGAGCTAGCCCCAGAATTTTAGCATCCATTGTCTGTGTCCTCTGGGAATTACAGGGCCATGGAGGCTTCCACCAAGATTTTTGAGAAAAGCCTGGGAGGTGGAGCAATGTGTAGATGGGTTTGGATACCCTGCAGGGACCTTAGTAAGTGATACATGAAGCTTTAGCTTCAAGCAAGTTCCTAAGATTTTGGAACTGCCAGCAACATGGGATATCTGCTAAGGAAAGTGTCAGGCCAAGTGGAGATGTCCAAAAAGAGAGGAAATGTCAACTATGAATGTCAAGGCCATAGCTGCAGTGATGTCCAAGCCTGTCAGAGCCCAGCTACCCTGAATGCCAGGTGCTTGACGTAGAGCTACCTAGTTCCCTGTTTTCCTTTGGCCCCACCTTTTCTCCCTGTACCCCATCTATCCATTTTGAAATGGAAACGTCTACTCTCTGTCATTATATATTGGAAGAATGTGACTTTCTGATGTTATAGAGACCCACGATTGAGAGTTTGCCTTGACCCTCAAAAATACCTTGACCCTTGGACTTTTGAACAGTGTTGAGACTGGTCAGGGCCTAATATATTTTGAATCTGAAATGTCTCCCATAGGCTCTTTTTTTCTTGAAAAATTGTTCCCCAGTTGGTGGTGTTACGAAGGAGACTGGGGGACCTTTTGAGGGCCAGACTTTTAGCTGGTGGAATTAGGGCCCAGGTCACAAAGGTTGGCCTTTGGAGGTTGTGTCTGGCCCTTTGCTCTGTTGCTCTGTCTGCTAACTGCTTTGCCATTACCTACAGAGCTTCTGCTGGAGTTCTCCAGTGAACAGAGCGGCCCAGCCCCACCAGGCTTTTCCTAACTTCATACTCTGAAACCATAACGCACAGCAAGTCTTCCCTCTGTTTGTGTTGTTCTGTCAGCTAGAGTTGGTCATAGAGATATAAAGGTTATAAAATTCTGTAGATTTAGTAAATCTGTTTACTAGTTCTAAGAGTTTGTTGGTGTACATTTTTGACATATCATGTTATCTGTTATGGTAGATGATTTTAAATTGTTTTCCAAACATAAATAGTATTTTCCAATTAAACTAGTAATTTTAATTATGTGTGTGTATAGGGGTAGGTGGGTAGGAATATTGAGTGCAAGTGTCTCTGTTCCAGAGGAATGAGTGTCTTCTAGAGGTAGAGATACAGTGGGTTGTGAGCCGCCTGATGTAGGAACCAGGTCATCTGTAGGAGCAGTATTCTCGTTGAGATGCCAGCCCAGTGTTTGTCTGTCTTTCTTTGTTTCTTTCTTTGTTTCTTTCTAACATTTTCCTTGCATAATTGATCTGGCTATAATTTAATACAGAAGTAGACAAATTTATCTGACTCATCATCACAGTGGAAGGGCACCTTTTTTTCCTCGCAGTCCTCAGTGTGCCCAGGCAGACTCCCTCTGAGCTGGCTTAGACATTCACGTTCTATAACAGGTTAAATTTCGCCCCTCCACCATGCGATTTATGCACTAAATTCTGAATCCTTAGTGACTCAGAATGTGACCTGATCTAGAAATAAGTGGCACAGATAATGGGTTGAACTGGGATGTGGTCATACTGGAGTCCTTGATCCAGTAAAACTGATGTCATTACAAAAAGGGAAAAGCCAGAGATGTACGTGCACATAGAGGATGCTGTGTGAAGATGGTTAGGATGAGAGCACCTTGCTTTTCCAGAAAGCGTCCAGAGGTTAGGGAATACGCAGGGACAGACCTCACCCTCAACACTGTCTGAAGGAGTCATCCTCACTGACACACTGACTTTAGATTTCAAGTGTCCAGAGCTGGAAGATAGCTGGAAGATAGCACAATTTTTGTTGTTCTGAGTTCCCCAGCTTGTGGGACAGCCCCAGTGAGTTAATATAGACTATCTACAAGGACTCTGTGTCCTCCGGCTTCACCATGACATACAGGAATATGCTAGTTGGCAAAGCCTCAGACAGTGGGCACTGACAACAGAATGTTATCCTGGGCTCAGTCCTAAACCCACCAGCAGTGTCTGCATTCCACCTGGCCTGCTGTCCCTCACAGACATGTCCAAATTGTGTTCTTTGGAGATAAAAGAAGATTCAAATATTTTATCTCCAAAGTATGAAGTTATGGCAGGTGTAAATCATTGTTATGATAAATTTTTTTCTTTTCTTTGAGAAATTAAGAGACAGGAGGATCTCAAATTCAGAATCTAGAAGCAGGCGATATCTCAAGTATTAGTTACTGAAAAATACAAAGATATGTGTGTATAGTATCTGTAACATATAAACACTGTACATGATATAAATATATGCTTTATATGGACACACACACTCAGCCTCGGGCATCTTGAACTTGATCTATACTTAACAATCCCTTCCTTGGCCATATCAAAGAATATCTAGATACACATATAAAGGTACTTACCAAGCAACACTTCAATAACAGATGCCTTCATAGTGAGAACAACAATTCCCATAAATATCAAAATGGCACCCTGGAGAGGAAGAAAAATATCATCAAGCTTCAGCCAGGAGTTCTGAACTGGATGCACAAAATATGTGCAGACATTCTGCATCATTTTGCATTGCCCCACGGAGCCAGGATAGCCACACTGATACCCAGAGAGTCCGTTCTCAGTTAGACAGCCCATTCTAGTTATAGGCCTCTGATTTTCTATAGATTTGATCTTAGAACTGACAAATGCTCCAGGATTTTGACACTGTGTCCCAATAGTCCTCAGATTTGGGCAGTAGACATATTTATGGTGTTAAGAGAACAACTTAAGATTACAAATAAGCTGGGCGGTGGTGGCGCATGCCTTTAATCCCAGCACTTGGGAGGCAGAGGCAGGTGGATTTTTGAGTTCGAGGCCAGCCTGGTCTACAGAGTGAGTTCCAGGACAGCCAAGGCTATTCAGAGAAACCCTGTCTCGAAAAACCAATAAATAAATAAATAAATAAATAAATAAATAAATAAATAGTTTGCCACTGAGTCCACTTTGTAAAAAAAAAAAGATTACAAATAAACCATTACTTCAGTAAATATTAAATTCCTTTAATAAGGTTGCTTTGTACGGAAGAAGTGGTAACACTGAGTTAAAAGCCAGTTCTCTTAAAATGGCATAGTTTAACAGAGGTAGAAAAATGTTTGTGTGTGAACACAAGCAATCGCAGCATGAGAAAGAGAGAGAGAGAGAGAGAGAGAGAGAGAGAGAGAGAGAGAGAGAGAGAGAAGGAGAGAGAGGTATTCAGAAAGCTTCATATGGAAGTGGGAGGGGCACTTACAGGGCAGTATTTCAAGTCACTGCACATTGGTATCACTGGGAGTTTTCACAACACCAATACGCAGGCTGTGCCCAGATCAATGGAATCAGAAGCTGTTGCAGATAGAGTCTGGGCATTAAGCTTTAAAACTCCACTGATAATTCAATAGGCAACCTAAGTTCAAGAAGCAGTAGTCAGAATAGGACTTCTCCTCACAATGCACACAAACCCCCTGAGTTTCTTGTCAAAAGTACATATTTTTGCACAGTAGGTCTCGCTATAACGACAGGGACACTGAAGGAAGAAAGGAGAGTCTACAGCCATATCACCCCGAAGGTGCCCAATCTTAGCTGATCTAGAAAGCTAAGCAGGGGCTGGCCTGTTTAGTACTTGCATGGAGAAAGGAAGAGGGTTATGTTATCTGTGAGCATAAGGGAATGCTTCACGGAGCTGGGAGCAGCTGGCTCACCTGGCTGGGATCAACAGAGTTTCAGAACAGAAATAGGGACAAGCGACAACCAATGTATGCATCAGCGTAGACAGAGTTCTAGGAGCTGGGCAGCACTGTGAAAGGCGAATGTTATGTATGGGGATCACACCTCCCCTCTCCTAAAGCTATACAGAGATCTCCAAAGGTTCACTAACACTACCACGCACTATGCTTCATTTTGTTCTGAATTCCTACAGTAAATCAGTGTGGTGGATTTGAAGGTTGTTGTTGAATATAGAAGGAAAAAAAGATAGAAGGAAAAAAAGATGTAAGAAGTTCTAGATTATAACCACAGTCCCACCAGATAGTGAAAACAGAAGGGAAAGGTGGTGAGGTGGGGGGCATCTGCCTGTGGGTCGTGCACTAGGAAAGAACATGGTGGAGAATCCAGACATAAAATTGGCTTGCATTTTATTAGCATATCAATGATAACAAAATACTCTTTCTCTGTGGGCAAGTGGCATCCCACTGCTGGGTAGCCTGAAGCTGGCAGTCATAACTCTATACCCTGCTGTAGACCAGGAGTTTTTTGAAAATCTACTTTCTGGAAAGGAAAAGACCCTGAGTTGTATTATGCCGACTTCTATGATAAAATTCGCACAAAATCATCTCATTTTTAAGCCATAAAAGTGATGCTACTAAATAGGAAATGTATAAACTTATATTCAATACTTAGATACATATCTGTAAAGAGTTAAGATGAAATGTGCTTATCAGTTATGACTGAAACACCAATACAACTACCAATGAATTTAAAACTGTTGGGTATATGAAAGATCTGTTCTAAATAAATTAAGTACAGATGGCCTCCTCCAAACACTGGGCCGGCCACTTTGTTGATTGTGAGCAACATTTGTGATGTTCTCAATTTCCCAGTTGAAGTAGTCTACTGGTATCTAATAGTAAAGCAATGGGCTTTAGCTTCAAAGTAGAGACATATAGCCTGCTTGCTAACCCAGGGTTGAAGTAGCTGTAATATATTTCGGAACAAGTGTAATAAATAAGTTTTACTAATTTGAGACATACAATAGGCTTGAGTTCAAACCTAAAGAGACTCAGGGACATGAGATGACAAGAGATGCAGGATGCTAAGTGTCCCTACTAGATGCTTATAGCCAGCACTGGCTACTGTTACCACTGAGTGCTACTCACCTTCCCTCTCTTATGCTCCACTTATTGGATGCCCACTAAGCTTTTTGGCTCTACACCCATGCAACATCCAAACTTAGTCAGTTCTCATACTCACTGATCAAGGCCACACCCTGGTCCCTCCCCTACATTAGTTTTGTTAGCCTTATAGGGAGGCTAACTGGCATGGCCATAGTTGGGGCAAATGGGTTCCTGGCATCTCTCTGATTAGAACTATACAGTGGGTCTCCACCATACAAAAAGAAAACCCAAAGTCTACAGGTGGCTCAAGGTTCTACTGGGCTTATTCACCATTCAGCCCTCTGATCTAATTTTGCATTATTCTTCACCTTACTTATTAAGTCTGGGGCACTTTGGGCCCTTGGTTGTTTCTAGAACATGCCTTTTACCTCAAGGTCTCACTTCTGCATTTATTGTTCCACTAACTGTTTGCTCTACCTCAACATACTTCCCCCCACATGAGCACATGACTATTCCCATGTTTTTCTCAGATCTTCACTCTAATGTTGCCTTCTTCTGGAACATTCTGCAATCAGCCTATTTGAAGTCACAACCTCCTTTCTGTCCACCTTCATGGCTATGCCCTACTCTTGCCTTGCTAAGATTTTTTCCTTGTTACTTATTACTTTTGACATACTCTACAATTTACTTATTTTATTTTCATTTGTCCACGCTGTGTCCCCAAAAGAATGCTAACTCCATAAGAGTAGGAATTTTTATCAGAGTTTATAGATGCTCAGTAAATGCATGTTAGGGGAATGTGTGAGTACCGAGAGCTGTCTCTTTTCTCTAGAAAAGAAAAACCAAGAAACAAAAGAAAGACAATCTGGAAATACACCAAAACAATCAAATCACATATTTTAAATGGTCTACTTTATAATCTGTGAATTATGTGCAATAAAATTACATTAGGAATTAGTTAACAAGGCATTATTGATAGTTGACACAGAAGCCTAAGGGATTTGAAACCCAGAGAGCAGAGAAGAATGCTCTCCGATCTTAGAAGTCATGAAGAACACACATGACCTTCACAGAGTGGGCTGCATGGATAGTTACCAACCAGTTCCAAGAAACAAACACTCTAATCCTGGTGAAGACATTACCCACGTATGACTCATCAGCAATAGAACCAACCAGAAACTTTGTATTTTTGGAAGCAGAGTGTATTGAAGGTTCCTTCTCACCCCTGTGCTTGCTTTCCTTGCTTGGTCTGTTTTTGTTTTTGTTTTTTTTTTCATACTCTTAAATGTTAATGCAACTTTTGAAATGAGAGGGAAAACATTGAAACCCTCTCACTCTCTGACACCCCAGAGGCCAGGGCGAAGACTGCTGAAGTTCGAGAAGCAATTTCTGTAGAGGGGAAGGCAGTCAATATCATGAAGTCATGGGGTGTTCAGCAGCTAGGGAGCCTTAATTCCTCCTGTGCTCCCAGAAGTGCTGACAAAAATTGAACAAGAGCTTCCAAAAGAATGTTACTTGTGCATGAATTATGGATTGTGCTGTGAGCTATAATTTAAAAATTCCCCAACCTGGAGTTCTGGTGAGGCAGATAAAGCTCAGATGTGAAAAAAAACTATACTTTAGTGTAAGGAGATTAGCACAGCCAATTCAATTAGATATCATTGCCCGAAGTTAGAAGAGGACAAATTTGTAATAAATAATAATAGCACCTTGTTCTAACTTCATCTTTCTTTCTGTGATAAGACACTCTGACCAAAAATAACTTAGGGGAACAAAGTGTTGATTTCAGCTTATAGGTCATACCTGATCATCATGGGAAGTCGGGGCAGGAACTGAAGTAGAAACCAAAGAGGAACACTGCTTTCTGCACCGAACACAGCCCAGGACCACCACCCCTCGCCTAGGGAATGGTGCCTCCCACAGTGGGCTAATCTTCCTTATATCAATTAACAATGAAGATAATCTCCCACACACATGCCCAAAGCCAATATAAACTGGGCAATCATTCCAACAATCTCTTCTCAAAGCTATGTCAAGTTAACAGTTAAAGCTAAGTAGGACATGCCATATATATTCTTCACTGTCTTTTTAACAATTAATTACTTAATTATTTACTTCTTAAATGCTGTCTCCTCCTCTCAGTCTTCCCTCAAAGAATTCATTCCCCTATTGCCCCTCCCCTTTGTCCCTGAGAGGGCAGAAGCCCCCCATAACCACCACCCTGGTGCATCAAGTCTCTACAGGATTTGCTACATGTGTGCCGGGGACCTTGGACCAGCCCATACATGCTCTTTGGTTGGTGGCTCACACTCTTTGAGCTCCCAGGACTCCAGGTTAGTTGATACTGTTGGTCTTCCTGTGGGGTTGCCATCCCCTTGAAGGCCTTCAATCCTTCCACTAACTCTTCCATAGGGGTCCCAACCTCTTTCCAATGTTTGTGGGTATCTGCATCTGTCTCAGTCTTTAGAGAAACTTCACATGTGTTTCTAAAATGGGAGCTCCTCTGTTATTATTTTTCTAGTCACTGTTTTTCATCCTCTTCCTCCTCCTCCTCCTCCTCTTCTTCCTCTTTCTCCTCCTTTTCCTCCTTCTCCTCCTTCTCCTTCTCTTCCTCCTCTTCCTCCTCCTCCTACTTTTCTTCCTCCTCCTCCTCTTCCTTCTTCTCAAATTCACTATGTAGTTAAGAATGGCCTTGAATTGTATATTATCACAAAAGGTTTCTGCAATGCAGGGATGAAAGCCAGGGCTTTGTGTGTGTTGGGCAAGCACTTTACAAACTGAACTACA